CTCTGTCTAGAAGCCGATATTTACGGACAAGCTTTAGCAGATCGTCCCCCAGCCACTCGCGTTGAAAAACATAAAAGACGTCTATAGACGTCTTTGGCAGCCAATGAGTTAAACACGGTTTTATGGTTCTGTCTCCTTAAGCATGACAGCTGTTGGTGATCTTTTGCTAATCTTTTGTCAACAGTGATAAAGCTGAGCCTCTTTAAGGAGAAACGACTTTTCTTACAAACCAGGATGTGCAACGCCTAAAAAAAGTAAACTCTGAAGGCGAGAAGGTGAAAAAATACATGTGCATCGAAACAGTCTCATATACAACTTGAAACACTTAGATCAGAAAAAGGAATCGGAGCTACTAGGCTTTGCAAAAAATTGCATATTGGCCGGCAGGAGAAAATACAGATCCAGACTCCAGATCCTGTTTTTTTCCAAGTCCGATCCCACACGAGCATTAGCATTAGCATTAGCATCTCCTAACCCACAGGTCTGTGTCCTAACCATTAAGTTGTTATCAGAGTAAATCCCCGTTCAACATGAGTCTGACAACTAAGTAGATAAATACATTTTAACTTTAACCCTGAAATGCCAAATGTATCATATCTGATACATCCGGTTTCTGAAATGTTTTGCGTCTGACACCTTTTGCATAATTTAATGGTAAAAACTTTGCTCAAAATCCTATTTTACACAATCAGATACACCTGATAACAGGGGGCAGAAGACTACACAAAAAATAATCTTGACTTATCGCATAGTAATAAATTATTAATATCAAAAATGTATTTCTGTTCTTCTTTTTACATATTTTGTTAAAAGGCCAAATAAAGACTTCAAACCAAAAAAAAAAAAGTAATTTTCTGTTTTGTTTTATTCTTGGATCGGGCTTTAAAGGGTTAACACATGCTCTCAAAGGCCGGGATCGGTATCGTATCGGAAGTGAAAAAAGCGGACATCCATAGTGGCTACTAAAAGTTATTTAAACTCATAAACCTAAGACAAGATGAAAGCCTGTGTGGGGGGTTTCCAGTGTAGACTGGTGTCCAGTAGAGCAGTGTTTTTCAACCACTAGTGTCCCGCGAGTGATGGTCAGGTGTGCCGTAGAAAATCATCCTATTTCACCTAACTGGCCTAAAAAGATTTTTTGATGAAGAATTAATTATCTGCAAATAATATTCAATTTTTGAGTGTCTGTGCTGTTCTAGTGACTGGTGGCGTAATCATGTAATAATTCCTTATGACTAGATTTTGTATATATTTTTGTATACTGAAGTGGACATGTTAAGAGCAATTTGAAAGAAGAAATATAAAATATGATAAAAATACATTTTTGTGTTTATTTGATTCCTATTCAAGACACTTAAGATAAGATAAGAATAAAATAAGAATAACTATAGTGTTACTATAGGCGGCTACAGATTTGTTTGACATTTTTGGTTGGTGGTGTGCCTCTTGATTTTTCCTATGAAAAAATGTACCTTGGCTCAAAAAAGGTTGAAAAACACAGCAGTAGAGAGTCTGAGCGGAGTCTGGATTTACCTTGATGATCTGTAGCTGAACTCCCTCGTCGGTTTGAGGGCCTTGAAAGCAGTTACAGATGGTTTCCACCAGCCGGTCGATGAGTCTTTTCCCCGGAGTTCTGCTGTCCGGCGCGTTTCCTGTGATGTGGCCGTAAGCGATCAGTTTCTGTGAGATAACGCACAGAGAAGTTTAGACCCCTCTTCATTCTCTGAGACACTTTTTATTGAGAAAGTGGAGTTTTTATGAACAGTTCTTGTGGTTGGCCAACGCACAGGTCAGGGGGTTGACAACTCTTTCTCATTCTCTGAGACACTTTTTATTGAGAAAATTGAGTTTTTATTAACAGTTCTTGTGGTTGGCTGTCTTAAAAAAGGAGGATCTTTTCTTTTTATCAAAACTGAGCTAACCTTCAACGTGGAAGTGTGGAATCCATTCAGAGAACACATGAACATATTTCAGGATTAAATTATAATCTTTTCCAAAGAATAAACAGAACTCATATCGCTTCAACTCAATGACTTTATATTTGAGAAACTTATCTTTTATCATCTATTTATATTTTTTACATGGCTTCAAGGCTGCTCTGCTTTGTCGTACGACTAAGAAAAGTTTAGTTACTGATAATACTTGTTCAATACGTGGAAATGCAACCAAAGGTCATCAGACCCTTGTCTGATATTTTTTAAACTCCATGGCCTCAATTGGTCACACAAACATTTTCCATAAAACATAAATATATGCTGCTTCTGGAAGCTCTTCCCATGGACTGTAAAGTGCAACGTAACCTGTGTGCGTAGCTCAGTGTCAAGAGAAAAGTTAGCAAAGAAAAGCTTAAATATCCGTCTTTAAATACTGCGAAATCTGCTGAGGCGAGCAGTGCAGCGCTAATAATTCATCCAAAAACTTCCCTTTGCTCTCTGGAAAAACAAGCAAGTGTATTAAATAACTTATAAACAGAGAAACCACACAGGCGAAGCAACTGCAGGTAAAAGATTAGTGAGTGAAACAGGTACGACTACATTTCACCTGTAGAGTAAAACAGCCTAAAAAACCTGTTGTGGGAAAGACAAAAGGAT